CAGGTTTGAAGTCTCCCCACATCAGTTTTTTTTTTATGTATACTTAGTTGTATATATGAAAATAAATATTTAGTAAAAACTTCTAGGGGAATGGAAAAATGGATGAAAATCAAAAAATAAAAAGTATAGTTTTTAGTTGAAAGTATCCACCATTTTCAATAAAATTGCTCTAATTTGCTAATCAAATACCAGCGTTTTTTTGATTTTAAACCTGCTCTGGTGCACAACGACTTGAGTTTTACTAAATGGTGGTCAACAATTTATGTGCTGTTTGTTTTAAAACCTTTGGTAAAGAGTCAGTATGATTCTCAATGATTCTTTGAGACTCAGCTCCTTATTTTTGTTGATTCATTGAATGAATTAATGAACCTTTATAAATTAAAAAAATTTTAAACTTGTTATATATAACAAGCCGTTTAAAATTCCTATATATAGGAACTAATATGTCATTGATGAGTTTATTAATAATGTGTTATATTTTTTATATTAGTATTTTATATAGTTTTAGATTTATTTGTTTATATAAACCGTCAAGATATCACAAGAACTTCAGATGTTTCAGAAATATTGAAAGATATTAACATTTTTACTTTTGATTTAAATGAAGATAAAAATGAAAGGATGTGCCTAAAATGTTGTTGAGTTGTTAAATCAGGCATTATTCATCTTTGTAATGATGTTCAAGCTGTGAAAAATTTAGCATTGGGATCAGCAAGTCCAGAATGTGTCGCTTCAAGTGTTTTAAAAACAAAAACGAGAAAAGGAAAATATTTTTAGAGGTGAAAAATTCACAATTGCTACTCATGGGAAACCATTGACTATGTCAATGCTGTGGATTCTGGTCAAGGTCTCTATGAATTTTTTTAATCTGCATGATAAAACTAGCAACCAACCTGACCTTGATGATGCTGGAGTTTAGCATTGTTTTTTTGTTGCTATTGTAGAAGGAGTCTCTGAACACAATGGAAATCTTAGAAAATTAGTTAATACTCTTAATCTTCAAAATATTAAGTATTCTGTTGCATTTGATTTAAAGTGTTCAGACTCGATGTTTGGCATTATGAGCCATGCTGGAAAATATAGTTGTTTGTTGTGTGAAGGAGAGAGTCTTTTGGATGGTGGAGAAAAACGAACTCTTTGCTCCCTCGATTATCATTACACTAAATACACAGAAGCTGGAAAACCAAAATCAAAAATTGCTGATTATAAAAATGTTATTAATCCAAGACTATTATATCTTGAAGAGGATCCAGACACAATAATAGAAAATTTAGTTCCAGTACCTGAGTTGCATACATTAATCGGAATAGTAACAACTTTTGGAAAACTATTATCAAAACTATGGCCTAACTTTGAAAAGTGGTTAAACTTAAATTACATATTTTTCAGAGGTTACATAGCATTGGATTTGATGACAACAATGTCAACAGACTTTTAGATAAGTTAGATGTTCTTGCTTGTGATATTGCTGATCAAGGAAAGCTTAAATTATTGCCAGTAATTGAATGTTTGAGAAAGTTTCAAGCAATGAAGCAAGCTACCTTTGGAGAAAAAATTATTGGTGATATTAAATTTGTAGTTTCCAAATTCAAGATGTCTTATGCTAGTTTAATGGAATATATTAATACTTACTTTAATAATATTTCTTTAAATATACTATCAGGGATTATTTTTTTCCGGATATTTCCGGATTTCCGGATATTTTTTTAAACTTATATTTTTTCCGGATATCCAAAACATTTTCAATAAATGCAAGTTGAGGTATATATTTTTGTAATATATTTGTTTTTTAAGCTTTTTCACTTATCACTGATAAAAAAAATTATGAAAAGTATTTAAAAAAAACTAGAATCAACTTAGCTAAAAGCGAAATTAAAAAGAAAATAAGGGAAAACAAATTCCGGATATTTTATCTAAACAATTTTCCGATTTTTAAAATATGACTAGGATGATCTATGTACTATGGAAAGTTCATATTTCAGTTAACCATATTTTACCATTTCTAAAAAGTACCAATACTGATAATGGACTTGGAATTTACTCTGAACAAGCAGGTGAATCTGTTCATCATGAGTTTAAATGACATGGATTAAGTATAAGAGACGACAAAGGCACCTAAACAATTGAAGTCAAGTGTTGTGGAATTTTCAAAATTTACATGTTTACTATTCAAATTAATATATTGTTGACTCACAACTATGTCAAAATTGTTGTTTCTAAAGAATTTTAATAGCATGAAAGTGTATATATAAAATATAATGTTATTTGTGTATTTTAAAGCTTACTCTAGATATTTTTTACCTTAAATTTATCTGTTAATTGCAAAAATCTGGCTAACTGTGATTCTTTTGAGATTTTAGATAATGCCCCCCCTAACCACAAATTTAAGATAAAATAAGCCCTCCACATTAAATGGGAAAGTCCCTCACTTAATAAACAGACTTCACAATATGCTATAAACTTGTCTGATTGATTTTACTGTCAGTTTATCATTATTATT